GTGTGCCCGTATGATCAGCCGTGACGACCAACGCGGAGTTGGCCGGTCGGCGGCGATTCTTCCTATTCTTTTTCCCCCTCTGCGTGGAGGGGCCCTCGTCTTGATCTTGGCGCTTGGCCTTGGCCTTGCCCCGGCCTCCATCGGAGCGCGGCGGGAGCGGCGTTTGTTGGAGGTTTTGGACAAAGGTCCACGGTCCCGGGCCATCAGGGATGGGACTCTGATCGCTACTGCGTGTGTCTCGGTTCGGTCCGAGGCGCGCGTAGATAGGCGATCGGTGCAGAGCGGTCATCAAGTCAAGACGAGGTGCCAATGCGGTCTCCTATGCAGCGCTCGGCGATTGTAGCGGCGATCAGGTGGAGCGATCCATCTGCTGCGTCCCCATTCCCCTGACGGGGAGCAAGGCCGCGAGTCAGCGTCGCAATACGGAACACTCCGCTTGTTGAATGGCGGCGGTCTCCACTAGTGCCCGAAGGTTCCGGTGGATCGCCTATTCATGAGGGTCGTTCGGCTCGGACAGGTCGCGCAGAAGCATTGCCGCGGCGGCGATGTTCTGATTGGGCCGAGCGAACTGCGGGGGATCATTCCCCCTGTCCATGGTGTTGTGCTGGACCCGATGGGCGTGACCCTGAGCGCCGCTCGCTGGTCTAAGTGCACGGGGCACAACGTGGTGCGCCGAGCACGCTGGCGCAGTTGGTGGCTGATGCAGCCACTGTTGTCGTGGTTTCTCCCCATGCCCCCGTGTGAGCTCGGGGGTCTCCGCACGAGAGTCCGGTGAGGTGTGAGTCCGTGAGGACTCCGCTTCCGCTGGTGGGTGTCCCGGAGCGTCCGCCATGGTGCACTCCCGAGACGAATGGTGGCTAGGCGCCATGTCGCCGATGCTGGAGCCATCACTCTCGCCATCGTCATCCATGAGGTCGAGGAAATAGGTGGGAGCATAGCTCGCCATTCCCATGAATTCGGATGCGAGAGGGGGCGGCACTGGCATCCTTCGGAGCCCACGGGCGTATGCATCCACGGAAGACGTGAGGCCGTAGGGGAACCAGTCGTGCAGCGGTCATGTCGGGGACAACGGGGTTCTGCCGGGTAATCAGCGGAAGATAGAGAATAGTAAGTAAATAACAGCGTGTACATTACTCACAGTGGGGTTTGAGCAGAGAGTTTGCTCAGAAAGAAGCGCAGATGTCGCATCGTCGAAGTCGTGCATCCCAGAGTTGATGGACGGCGCCCCTCCGACGAGTGCCGGGACATGAGCCTCCTCGCGGAGGTGTAGTACGCCGAGCCGGTTGGCGATGAAGTCCAGGATTCTGAAGAGGAGGGCCTGGGATGGCTCAAAGACGGGTGGAACCCGCATCCCAGCCGGTGAGAGTGCGGAAAACTCTAGCGAGCCAAAGCGAATCATATCGCCTTAGCCCACCACGGTGAGGGTGGCGGAAAAGTGGGCCATCCAATGACCAAAAAGTGTTGAACGTACAGCGTCTTCCCCACGGACGGCGCCAACTGTCGGTGCAGAATGTGACCAACTAGTGAATATTTGTAGTTTTGTTGTACGTTGTGATCGGAGGTGGCCTAGCACTCAATGACACAGGGTTTATACTAGTTCAGGCAATGTGCCCTACGTCTAGTTTGAGTTGGTAGGTGACTTTATTCCTGAGCCCAGGTGCTCGAAGTCTGCAATGGGGTTACAAAGGAGAAAGAGAAAGATGGGGTGTACGAGAGGTCCGGTCAGCTCCGGACAGAAGGGCCGAGAGCGACAGGAGCTCCGCTATGAGCTAAGTGTTCAAGCGTGTGCTTGGGGTTCGAACCCGGCGGTTCTGTGGTTGTGAGCTAGTGAACTTGATCGATGTTGGTTAACTAAAAAGGACTGAAAAAGCTCTCCTTCATTGGAGGGAGTGCATCTCCTTTTATAGATAAAAGGGATGGCTTTACAAGTGAGAGGGTGAGGGTACGTATGCTACTGGGCTTTGTTGCCCATGCTGGCAGGTACAAGATAATGGTAGGCACCTACAACACTGTTGGTTGTCACTGTAGAATGCCAGATGCACATGGGAGAATGTGTTGCCTTCTTCAGAAATGGCAGATGTCGGTACCTACAAATACTGTTGATGCCTAGAGGCATGTGAGGAGTTTCACCACGTTCACCTGGTACGGTAAATCCCGGCGCCCACAACACTATCGATGCCCAGAGGCATGTGGGGGGCCTTACCGTATGGGAGTTAACGGCGCCTACAATACTGTAGAGGGAAATGTCGGAGCCTACAATACTGTTTGTGTTAGGGCGGTTGTAGAGTACTGTTCCTGTAGGTGTACAGGGTATGGTCTCTAGTATCGTGGTTTGACTTTGTGCACCCTGGCTTGCTTTCTCCGTTCGTCCCCTGGTTCCTTCCGAGCGGGCGTCCCCAGTCGGATGGCCCCAGTCGGCCCTGGTCGCGCCAGTCGAAGAAGAGTGGTGAGCAAGGTTTTTGCGGACCCTGGTCGGAGACATGGGGTTGGAGCCAGAAGTAGCGCTTTGGGCCAGGCCTTCTGATCGGAGAGGCTGTCCGGAGGCGGCTGGAGTCCGAAGCGAGTGCTCTGGTCGGAGAGGTGGGCCGAAGTAGTCGATGAGTGGGCGTTGTTCCTCTTCGGCCAGACCTTTCGGTCGGTGACTGGACCACCCTTTTGGCCTATTGTTCTAGACCCTTGGGCCGGCCCATGAGCTGTGTGCTGTCTGCTTGGGCCAAGCCTTGGCGTGGAAGCCGGTCCCCGAGGGACCCCAGGTTTATGAATCCGATAGCTACTCTACTGCAACCTACCTGAAAGCATATGGTCCCAAGATTTATCCTTGCAAAGATAGGAGCATGTGGCAGAAAGTTCAAGGACTAAATGTAATTCCACCAGTCTATGAGAAAAAAGTTGCCAGGCCACCCAAGAACAGAAGGAAGCAACCTCATGAAGTCATGGGCAAGTTTGGTCCTAAAATGTCCAAGCATGGTACTGTCATTACTTGCTCTTATTGCGGAACAGAAGGGCATAACAGAGGTGGTTGCAAGCTAAGGATGGCTGGGATTAGGCCTGAACTACAACCTCAAAACAAACCAAATGTGGATCATGGCCAAGAAGTAGGATCAGCTGAAGGTTTTGAAGAACTAGTTACTAGCCAAGTAAGTGAAACTCATTTAGCATGTCAATTAGATTAATAGTTCATACACTCTGAAGCATGGCATTGTAGGCTTCCATGCAGTTTGGAGAGGGGAGCCAAGCAGTGCTATAAAAAATGACAGGAACTGTCCTTTCTCAATTGCATGCAGATGTAAGTGCACATAAACTTCATCCACTCTATCAAATTGAACTTGTAAACACCTAACTTGATTCCATGCAGTCCTCACAAACAAGCAAAAGACAACTTCACAAGGAACCATTGCCAGATTCCACATTCATCAGCAGAAACTAGCCTACTACGAGGCCAGTGCCCCCTACCACTGCAAGCAAGGCTGGAAGAGGAAGATTGAAGCGCAATGTGCCGAGTGACCCATGTAATCAGCAAGGCAAGACCAAGAAGAATACAACTACCAAGACAAGAAGGCTTGAAGACCTGTGAATGTGGTATGTGATGCTTTTGTATAGGTCAATAGGCTCACTGTGCCAGTTTCTGTGAACCTGTAAAGCAGCAGCAAAAATATCTTAGTTGATGCTTTAGGCTTATTTTGCTTCCTTTTGATTCTTCCAGCCAGACAGGGAAGATAGATACATCTTTTGGTTCTTCCATATAAGCACAGGAAGATAGTACTTACTTAGTGCCTTACATCTAGGACAATGACATGTGTGTCTCAATGTCCTTGGTAAATGGTTGATGGACATAAAATCTGCGACAATACATCATCCTGTTATGGTTCTATCTTGAGGAATTGACATTGCAAGATCTGTGAACATCATCTTGTTGTTATTCATTGATGGTTTCATACATGGCTTGATAACATTACTTAACATATGCATTGATAACATATGCATTGATAACATAATGTTGCTCAAAACCAACATGATTGCTGAATCCAACATTACTGAATACACAAAACCAACATGAATCCTTGTGACAGCCTTCAGCAACACAAAAGCAACAGTACTAATTACACATTTACCTACTTCACCAACAGGACTAATAGAACAAAAATGAGCACAAACAGTAGAGCAACACATACTACAAATAAAGCCTTCAGCACCATGACTACTTCTTTTACCATTTCAGCAGATACAACTTCCCTCTTCACCCAACCATTGTTGCGTACTCCTCCATCAGTGTTCATCTTCAAATCAGAGGATTCCACCATGGCTGTGCCTGCATTACTAGGACTTGCTTGAGCACCAACAGTGTTCTTGTCGAACACCACCTCCAAGTACTCCTTCTCCCACTTCCAGAAAGGGCAACCGGTTCCATCTCGCTACAAAAATCCCTAATATCAGCTTCGAATCTAGCAAGAACAAGAACTTCATCTTAATTGAACCACTAACCTTGTAGAACAGGCAGTAGTAGAACACCTACCCAAAGTTCCATTCCTGCTTCGATACCCGGCGCACCACCCTTGCCCGTCCGCACTCCCTACACTGGATCAGAGGTATATCGACTGGATCTGTCGTAGACTCCCTTGATTCGCTAGCCATGGTGCCAATCTGATCTCGACGACGGGAGCAAGAGGAGGAAGACAGTCTAGGGAGAGAGAGGGCAGATGCGAACAGTGGGTTAGTTACCCTTTTCAATACAACTCAAGGTGTCCTCTGCAAAATTGCCAACGTCCAGGAGCGGCAAAATTGCCACGTCGCCTGGAGGCCGCACCGGATGGGAAATGGGACTGTGGTGAACACCTTGACAAGTTCAGGGGCCCATTTTCCGCGTTTGCAAGTTCGTGGACCGAACTGGCACAGGCCGACAAGTTAAAGGGCCGCCAGTGTATTTCACTCTATCTAGATTAAGACGCAAGCACGCCGCCATCGGCGATCGACCGGCGGGATCGGAGCCCTAGCAGCTCCTACTACTCCTCCTTCTCCTTGTCCTCCTCCTCCTGCTGCTGCTGTGGCTGCTGGTCTGGTGGCGGTTCGTTCAGATCGAAGGGCATGACAACGTGCTGCGCCGGCCCGTCCTGGTGTTGCCTAGAGAGCCAGTAGCTGCCGAGCCTGCCGCTGTGGCTGGCGCGGTGGCCGTCGAGCGCCTGGCGGGTCTCAAACTGGGCCCCGCAGTGCTCGCACGTGTAGCGCAGCTCCCTCCCATCGGCGGTCACGGCAACCACCGGCGGCTCGGCCGGCGGTGCCATGCCGCGCCAAGCGTGCTTCGGGTGGCTGCGGTGGTGCCCGTGCATGGCCTTGCGGCGGTCGCAGACGGGGCAGGGGTGAGGCCCGTCCCCGGACTCATTCTTGCTGTGGTTGCGGGACGCCGCCTTCTTGCGGTGCTGCACCGCCGCCTGGACGGCGTCCGCCTCATGCGACGACATGGGGCGCCATGGATGGTTCGCGTCCTCGCCGCCGCCGCAGGGGGGTGTGCCTTGAACGTATTGTCAGCATGTTGGAACGCACGCTCCGCCTCTGGAGTCTGTGGCCCAACAGCCCTAGGCTCAGTAACAAAGTAGCAGTGCATAGCAGTCATCCATAATATGCACCTCTATCGCCACCTCTTATAGTGAGTGCCCTCAAACACATTTGGTTTCAGCAGACCCGCAAAGCCAACTACTGAAAATTACCTATCACGTTTTTGGATTGTTAGATAATTAGGCATTTTCAATAGCAAATTAATCCAAAAAATGACAATAATCATAATGTTGGTGACATCATGTATGTGCTTGTGTGAACTAAACATGAATGCTGCCATGTAAACGGTACTAACCAGCAAATTGTAGATACATGACCTTACTGGATAGCGAGGAAGAAGAGAGACATACTTAGCGGCAGAACCAGATGCACTAGTCGACATAGTGCCCAGCGGCAGAGCCGGATGCACTAGTCGACATAGTGCCTGTCGATATAGCCGTCCCGCTCGGTGCAGTGCAGGAAAGAAGCCGTGCTGATCACCGTCGTGCCGGGAAGAAGAAGGATGCGAGTAGTCGTGCCGCTAGCGACACTCCCCAAAAACGTGATTGCCGCCCTTCACCCGAGCAGGTGAACTCATAGACGGAAGACGTTCCGGAGGCTCTACTCTCCTAACTCCAGTGCTCGCCGGAACAGGGACGGGGAAACTCAAGTGCGGAAAGGATGACTGACGGAGGGGTTCGGAATATAAAGCCACGGTGGGGAAGCGAAGGGCCAGCGGAGGAGATCAAGAGACGGGACGCAGAGGGTCGGACGGTGAGAGACAAAACTCCCGTAATGAAGCCAGCCACCCACATCAAAGTGTGTAACTCCCGTAATCAAACGAATTGAGTGGCAAAACCACGTCCGTCCGTCTGCTCGCCGTAATGATGCACGTCGACCCTCGATACAAGCAGATCCTCGTCGAGACGTTCACCCTGGCGCAGGCCGCCGCCATCGTCCAGGCGGCCAGGCGGGGCCTTGGCGCCGGCTACCTGCTACCCTGCTCCTGCTGCTTCAGTCAATTCCTGTTTACTTTAATTTCACCGTGTAATAGTTACTTCCTCAACTCATCGCGCAATGAAAATGTATGCCTGGCAGCCAGGGCCTCCGCGCATCCCTCCCTCCAGTTCACCACAGAACGCTACGGCGGCCTGCCGGTCAGCCGTTCTCGCGCCTGGACGCAACTCCATCCGGACACACAAACACACGCCCGCAGTATATGCACATGAAATAATAAATGTGTGACACACAAATACAACACGCAGTATATACGCATGAGTGATAAATGTGTCACAGGAACACAACACGCGTAGTAGTGTAGTACACACATGAAATGATGAATGTATGACAGTATAACACTATCGTCCAAGCATAATAAGCACAATACAAAAAAAACTAGTACTATATATATAGAAGAGAAACTCACTGATATATATTATATAAACTGGAAATATTATATAGATGGAAATATATTACACACAAAGGAAAAATGAAACTACTAACAGAAAGTTCTTTTTTTATAAAACTACTGACAGAAAGTTAAGATTTAAATGACAACATAGGATAGTATGTAGATATATATAGCGCTAGTGAATAGCTAGCGGCCGGCTCGATGCATGTCTACATTGGAGGAGCAGGAGAGCAGCAGCAGCACTGGCACCACCACCACTCACCGAGGTTGCTGTGATCAGTGGCATTGTCGGCAGGGATGGCAGCAGCTAGCATTGGTGTCGACATTGAGGACACGGCCTGGTTGGCAATGGCTTCCATGAGCCACTGGTGCCCAGGGACGCACTCCTGCGTGTGGCCCATCCTCCAGTGCAGCGTGACTGTCAGGTGCGGGAGCAGTAGCGCGCGATGCCGAAGACCGGGGCCGGCACGTCTCCAGGCGGCCGCAGGTGGGCATGGAGCACATGAGCAGCAGGCGTGCCGGCGGGAACAGCAGCGGGTGCGCCATGAACCACTCGCACAGGAACCTGTTGGCCGGTGAAGCAGCCGAGCTCGCTGACGAGGCACCCGGGGTTGCTTCCGTCTGCTAGCTCACGCTACTCTGCTGGTGGTGCCGGCAACGGCATCTCTCTATCTGCAGACTAAAGTTAAAATACGCTCTCCCCTCCCCGGCGGTGTGCTCTCCAAACCATTTCTTCTCGATCGGATCTGACGTAAGCATTTGACCACGACCAGTGTCCACTTGACGACGACCAGTGTCACACACTTCTCGGGTGGTGGTGCCGGCATACGTTACAACAAGCCATCTCTAAAGTTAAATACGCTAGCTCTCCCCCTCCTCGGCGGTGTGCTCTCCAAACCATTTCTTCTCGGATCTCGGTCGGTCGGGCTATCTCTCCGGCTGCCATCGTCAATCCACCGGCAGCTAGCTAGCAGCTCCGGTGGCCTCCGATCCCGCTCGATCGGCGACGATGAGCGTGGCCAGCCCAGTCGTTTCGCACCAGCCGCCGGCGGCGGTGTGCAGTGGGCATATTAGCATGGCGGCGCAAGGGATAGGCACACAGCCAGTGGCCGGTACATGCTTTCGTCTGCTAGTTTACACTGGTGTGCTTAATTATATATTAGCGTGCTTTTATCTTTTTATTCTCTTTGGACTTTTGGTCGCAGGCGAATGAAGCACGGGTGGAGTGGTGGTGGTGGTGGTACCATACGGCCGGCACACTCGGAGGTGGTTGGACATCCTGCACCCTGGCGTCAATTCAAATTCTTTACAAATAAGGAATGACACATGCGTATACACTGCCGAGGTGTATCAAGGTTGTTCGTTCATCATATATTTGCTTCAATTCTCACATTTGCAACTCACATTGCAACTCGTGAGTCATGGACATAATTTTATAACTGCTTAGATTGTATTCGTGTGTGAGACACACAGTATGCACTGCACAGAGCATGAGTGTGTGAAACACATACACACACGCAACACACATAGATTTGTTACATGAAAATAAAGTCGGATAGAGTTAGTTTCTAAGTACATCTTTCTAGGCCTTGCCCACCGAGTAGAGATGAGGTAGCATCCGGTTTGGGCCTATTGATGCATAGCCTGTTCTATCCACCCTGTCCTAGTTTGGTGTTTTCGCTTGAGATGAGGGTACCTGTGGGTACTATATGTAGTTGATAGTAGCCCTCGAGCCTCTATGCGATTTGGAGAATCGGATGGTGTCGACGAAATACGTTCGGCAGTCTACCGAGGGGTATACCCACGGTAGTAGATGAATCGGTAGAGGTGCACGTGAAAGAACCGGATGGTGACACAGAACACAAGAGACAGCGATTATGCATGTTCAGGCCGCCAACTTGGCGTAATACCCTACGTCCTGTGTCTTTTGGCGGATTGTATTGTGTGTGATTGGATGAAAACGAGGGGGGTCCCTACCCGCCTTATATAGCTTGGGGGTAGGGTTACATATTGGTTGTTTCTATTCTGATCGGTTTACAAGATAGCAAGTTACAGATATTACTGTATCTACATATCCGAGCGGATTTCCTAGATCACCGAGGATCTTCACGTAGCCTTGCGAAGCACGCCAACCTGCGCCGTACTTCACACGGCATTGTCTTGCAAGCTGGGCCTCGACCAGTGGCACGACCCATGCGTAGTCTTGCGTGCTGGGCCTCCCCTAGCGGCTCGGCCCATGTACATCCCTGCGGGTACTGGGGGTTATACCCCCATAGATGGAGGGTTAGTCGTAGTTGATGTCAACATGCTTTTCTGTAGTCGTAGTTCATCAGGGCTGCGCAAGCGGACCCAGTGGGTCTTGTGACATAACTGCCCAATTCATACAAAATTAAGTACGACTGTCCCACTAGCAACATTAGCACGCGCATACCATCACCGGAGAGATAAGGGAAGAGCTCGCCGGAACCCTAGAAAGCATATTCGAGAGGAGGAGGAGAGAGGAGAGAGGAGGAGACCTACTTGGCGCAGATCCGCCACCGCCACCGCATCCGCCATGACCGCGCGCGGGGATGCGGTGGGGCGTGGGCATTGGGAGGTGCTCGCCGGGGGGAGAGAGAGAGGTGCGGCCAGCTAGCGGGGTATGTGGGCTATAGCCTCATATCCTGTGCGTTTTTTAATTATTTCCATTGATTTATTTGCATTGTGCGCACTTTCCCAGGATGATATCCATGTAGCGGACGGTTTAGTGTGTTGGTTTGATCTCCCAACCATAGTGGCCCAACGGCCACTTGGGCCTTGACCTCGCGCCCTGATCAGGGGCGCTCAGTCCATCTATGCCTGGCGGGCCCCCGTCACACTGCGCAATAAATAGAGGTGGGGGCCGATGGCTCTCAGTACGAGGTTGGCCTGAGCCGTACGCCCCACCGGAAAACCCTACTCCGATCTAACAGAGGGGCGCAGCCAGTGACGGGAAGCACCGCCGCCGCCACGGCACTGCGCCAACACCACTTCACTGCACCACTCCTTCTTCATCGCCCGTCGCTGCCCTAGCGCAGATCTTCACCGACGAACCTGTGATGGCCGGATCCGCCTCCTCAATGCCTACCGATGGTCTGTGCCTAACCCTAACTCTCCCTCTCCCTCTCTGTCCCTCTCCGTACACACCATTTCTATGAGAAACCCAATGAAACCCCACTGATCTACACCACGGATGGTCCTAAGATTCTAACAATGGTATCAGAGCCATGGTTGCTAGCGTGTGATCAAGATTGGGGCAAAGAAAAGAAGGAAGAAAAGAAAGAGAAACGAACTTCGGTTCGGAGAAAATGAAACCCTAACCCTAAAGAAATTGGACAGTCTGGGGAAGTCTTACTAGAGCTTCCCCGCCGCCATCACTACCGCCTCATGCGGGATGGAGCACCCGCCGCCGGCTTGCTGACGCGCAGGAAGAGAATCAAAAGAACAGAAAAGAAAAGAACGGATTAGATCCTTTCGGATCTGAGCACACAGACTAGG